AGAGAACCAAGATGTGGTGGAGAGATGCCATTGTCCTGGAGAACATCAAGGGTCAAGAAACGTGTTTCCTAGTACCCCCACCATTGGGGCTTGAACCCAAGGGGTTAAATCAGACCCCCCCGGGGGGGGGGTGTGATTCCAAAAACGTCCATCATCCATCTTGGCCACTTTGAGAAACAGGGGCACCCCCCTGCTTCATGCGGACACAGTGTCACCAAAACAAGCCACAATGGGCAGGGGTGAGACACATAGTCACAGGGGTCTCCCGGAGGCCTGGGCCGCCCTACAGCAGGCGCCAGATTCCCCACACCTACCCAATGGGAAGACTGGGATGGCTCGCCCCACCCAGACTGAGAGACAGACACATGGGGAGGGGTGAGAGACACATGCAAGGGCCCACCTGCCCTCCCACCACGGCCCTGCTGCGTCCGTGTGATATCCCAGCTCTCCTGCCCTCGGCCGCTGGCCGGCTCTCTGCCTGACCCTGGGTATAAATATCTCCCACTTCACCCTGGAGGAATTTGCCTCACACAGGCCACCATGGCAACAGCCTTCCTTCCCCCACTGGGGGGTCATTCCCAACCCTGCCAGGGTGAGGCCGGGCTGCCACACGGCTACAGGCTGCCCCTGTGGGGAAGGCCACCCCTTCTCTCCTTCTGGAAATGATGAGAACAGGGGAAAACATCCCTGTCTGCCTGCCTCTGGGTGACTTTCATAGGCAGACACCAGGCGAGTCGTGTGAGGCCCAGACCAGCCAGGCTGAGAGACAGAAGACAGATGCCAGGGGCAGGGACACACACACACACACACACACACACACACGCAAGCACACGAGCACACGCAGTGACAACGCCCACTCCCCAAACCTCTGGTTGGAGCAAGATGTGGGGTGGAGACAGTCACGAATACGATACTCCTCATCTGAGCCTCCCGTGCTCCCAAACAGTGACGCAATCTGACCCACACACGTGAGTGTCCCAAACCCACCCCAAGCAGGGTGCACGCTCTGCAGCAGGGGAGGGAGGAGTTGTGCCCCGCACTCCCGCTCCCGGGGAACCCCACTGTCCCCACCACGCTCCCTTCCTCTTGGGTCAGGCCTGCCTGGAAAGCCACGGCTTGGCCACTCCTGCTCCCAAAATAGGTGGCCCAGCCAGGCGAGGGGTGAGGCCCGGAGGGGAGGGCAGGGGACGCTCACCCCAGTCAGGCTGTCCCCTGCTGAAAGAAGGCCCCCAAACGTCCGGCTGTGCCGGGGGTGAGCACTTTGGACCCCCTGGCCCAGAGCTGGACTGCGCCGCCCTCAGCGGTCTCCCCTCCCGGCCCCACCCCACCCTCACCCTCCCCAACCAGCAGCTGTAACTGGAGCCCTGGCTGGAGGGGGGCCAGGGGGCGGCCCCCAGCCCAGACCGCCCTGGCCCGCTAGGTTAACTCTCTCGGCTCAGATGGAGGAACACTACCGGCGCTGGGGACAGCTGGGGAGAGGAGGTGTCGGCAGGGAGGCCTGGACTGCAGACACATGCACGCTCGCCCCAGCGCCCCGGACAGCTTCTGCCCTGCAGTGGGAGGTGTCAGTGACTTTCTGTGAGGCCCCCTGGGAGTCGGGCCCAGTTGGGACCTAAGGCCATTTGAGCCCTTAGGAGCCCGCTGACCCCTGACCCCAGGGTTCTGTGGAGACCTGGTCAGCGCCACAGGGCTATTTTGGGGGCATTTCTCTGTGTGTGTGTGTGTGTGTGTGTGTGTGTGTTTTCCGCTGCTGGCTGTGAGGTCCCCCAGGGGTGCACACCACGCACATTCACACGCACACACAGAAACCTAAAGACCCCGTTTATCTGGGCACAAAAGCAAACAAATACATACAAACACAGACGCAGACACACAGAGAATAACACACCCGCGGGGAAACCCAAGGACCCTCCCGCACAGCCCACAACACCACCAGCCACACAACCCTGACGGACACACTTGTGGACACATGCAACGCGCACACACACACAAATGCACAAATGCACAAACAGGACATAGCTGGCCACTCGGGCACAGACGGACACGCTTATGCACTTGTGTTCGCGTACTTGGAGACACCACTCGCTGTGTGCTGATGGGCTGAACCCCCACTCTCCTGATCTCACGTGGCCCGGAGGACTCCCCGGAGAACAACACGCACGGTGTCCTCCTCATGGGCGGGCCAGCTTCACAGGCACTGGTGACGGAGAAACCCGGGATCAGCTCTGAGCTCTGCCACTCCTGGCTGTGTGACCTTGAGCGGCCCATGGGACCCCTCTGTGTCGTTTCTGCCCTATAAAATGGAGGAATCGCTAAGGTCGTACGGATAACGCCGGGCCAGGCTCGGAGGCCTCTGAAGCCCACACTGTCTTGTCATTAACTCCATTTTAGAGATGAGCAAACCGAGGTTTAGCAAGGTGGAGCTGATTCTGCTGAGGTCCCTGGTGCTTATGGACAGAAACGGCCCCCGGCCTGGAAGAGTTAGACACGGGCCCAGACTCCGTAAGACACCAGAGCCAGGAGCCAGTGAACATGCTTATCCGCAGGGCACAGACACAGCCCGCCTCAGAGGACCCAGGGGGCTTTGCGACACCCCCTCGCCCCTGTATGTCTGAGCCTCTGCCCCTCATGGCCTTGCACCCTGGGGTCACCAGCAGTCTCTGGTTAATGATAACCCTGATGTTTATGCAGCCCTGGAGAAGGCTGACAGAGGAGCAGAGAAGTGAAGCAGGGCTGGGAGCACCGGGCCAGCTCCAGCCAGTCCTTGGCTTCCCTCCCTCTCGAGGCCAACTGCTCCAGAGAGGAGCAGCTCAGCCACTTTCTAGCTGCGTGATGTTGGGCCCGTGACTTAACCTCTCTGAGGCTCAGTGCCTCCTTCTGTAAAATGGGGATAAAACAGTAGTCACCTCAGAGGGAAGTTAGGAGGACCGTCGGAAACGATCCGTGGAAAACATTTAGAACAAAGCCCGGCAGTCAGTGACACACACCCGTTAGGTATTGTCACTGTCGCCATTGTCATTCCCCTTGTGAGCCGCAGCGAGAACCCTGGTGGCTGAGTGCTCTGTGAGTATGGATTTAGGCGTGTCTGCGTCCCCTCTGTGTCCCTGGCACGAAGTTTTTTATCTTTTCAAAGACCCCGTAAAGAAGTGTATCATCCCTACTGTACAACTGAGGCAACCGAGACCTGAAGGGCCTGGCTCAAATCACAGAGCCGTTTGGGTCCAGGACAAGCACTTGGGTCCGGAGTCCACACCCAGGCCTGCCGACCACGGCGGGGCGCCTACCCTGCGCTGACCCACGAGCGGGGGCCACGGCCTCCTTCATCTCACGGAGTGCTCTGCACACCTGGGGAGTGGGTGCCACCGACTGCCCCCCTCGACAGATGGGAAAACTGAGGGTCAGGGAGGTCAAACGACTCCCCTGAGCCCACGCAGAACCGAGCCCGTGGTCCTTGCTGAGCTGGTGCCGGTGAGCCCCCTGTCCTCCACGTCTTCCAGGCGTGTGCAGCCGTAGCCAGAGATGCCGTGTGTTTCCCTGAGGGGTGGGAGGACAGAGGTTAGGTTTAGATCTGTCCAGTGCCATGAAGCGAATCACTTAATCACTTCCTGCCTCGGTTTTCCCACCTGCAAAGTGGGGATCCCATCTCACAGGGCTGTTGTGAGAACTGAGTAAATTCATGTTAGGTCAGGCAGACGGTAAGTGCTCAATGATTATTGTTACTACTCTTTCAGGTTGGGGAACACGTGTCATTTATTTCTGGATTTTGCTTATTTAATGCTAAAAGCAGAGTCCAAATGAAAACAACCAGTGTTCATGAGTTCCGGTCTCCCAAGAAAGAACACAAAAATCACGAGACAGGCCCTGGAGCCGGCTGCCGGGGCTTGAGTGCTGGCTCAGCCCCAGTCAGCAACCCAAATCGCAAATTACTTGACCTCTCTCCTCAGCGTTTGTGCCTGTAAAATAGCCATATAATAGGGTCAACCTTAGAGAGCTGTTAGCACGAGCTAGTAAACTTTTAGGACAGGGCCTAGTGCAGAGCCAACGCTGAGGGAGGGGGTGGCACCATCACCATCATTGTTTGCTTGCATTGGTTCCTTATCCACGGCGGGTGGTGGGCACTCAAGGGGTTAATTTCAGGCTGGCCTGGAGGCTGTGGGTTTGGGGCAGGGCAGCGGCCCTGCCCTGTTTGGCCACCAGAGGGAGCAGCTGGGCCTTGGTGACCGCGCACATCACACCCTCCGGGAGCCAGGGGAGGGGGCTGGCTGGGCGTGGCCAGGATGGCTCCAGCCCCCAGCTGTCTCTTCGCCCACCCCCTCCGCTTGCAGAGCCATCCGGTCCCCACCCGGGTGACATCCTCCTTACACTCCCTGAGTGGGGTGGAGTGGGAAATCTGGGGAGGGGGCTGGCTGAGAGTGGTCAGCTCCAGCCCTTTGTGGCCCCTCCCCTCCCATGGGGCCATCCAGTCCCTTCCTTAGGGCTGCTCTTCCTATGGCCTCTGACCCCCTCCTCCTTCTTACGCTGCTTTGCTGGGCGCACCCGGTGCCCAGTGAGTCCCTTTCCCAAACCTCCAAGGAGAAGGGGCGTGGGAGGAGGGGAAGAACGGGGAACTGGAAAGGGGGGTGAGAAATAAAGATAACAGACAGAGAGAGAGACACACACACAGGCCAACAGGCAGACAGAGACTCAGAGAGAGAAACAGAGATAGAGAGACAGACGGAAATAAAGAGAGAGAGTGGAAAACAGGCTAACTCCCTGAGTCAGAAATACAAAAAGGGACAGAGACAGACAGACAGGGAAAAAGAAGTAAACAGAAAATCAGACACCAAACGGATAGGGGAAGAAAGACAGGCTGAAAGAGAGACGGAGGAAGGAGAGCGAAGCCAGGACGGGGCGTGCCAGCTGGAGGAATGGACGGTCGCCTGGCATGGGACGTGTAGTGGCCCCAGCCCACAGAGCTGGGTGGGCAGAGAGGAGCCGGGGCGCAGCGGGGGCGAGGGGGGATGGGAGGGGCAGGCGTTGTGCTGCTGCTGCTGCTGCTGTTGGCCGGAGCGGGCGCCGGGGTGGCCTGGAGACCACCAAAGGGAAAGTGCCCTCCGAGCTGCTCCTGCTCCAAGGATAGTGCCCTGTGTGAGGGCTCTCCAGACCTGCCCGAGAGCTTCTCCCCGACCCTGCTGTCACTGTGAGTGTCACCGCGAGGGTGAGGATGGGAGTCCTGGGGCCCCAGGGCTTGGGGGCAGGGGGCCGGGCCCCCGAGGACATGGCCCTTCAGGATCTTGGGAGGTGGGCAGCAAAGGATGTTGGGATGCCTCACAGGGGGCTGCTGGGATTGGGACAGGAGCGGAAGGGCAATCCCGAAGCACAGGGGCAGCGTTTGGGGCCCCAGAAGGGGGACAGCCGGAGGGAGGACTGAATGTTGCCAGGATCCTCGCCAAGTGAGGAGGGCAAATCCCTGTGTCCCTGGGATGTAAAGGAAATACATCCAGGGTTGGGGTGGCATGTCAGCGTCCCCCAGACAGGGGACGGCTCTGGGGCGGGGCTGGAGCCTGGGGGCGGTTTTCTCCTCACCCACCATCGCCCACGTCCCCAGCTCACTCGTTAGGACTGGAATCACCCAGCTGAAGGCCGGAAGCTTCCTGAGGGTGCCCACACTGCACCTGCTGTGAGTGGGGCCCAGCTGAGTGGACAACTAGCTCGAGGGAGTGGGTGGGTGTTCACGCAGGTGCGTGGGGGGGGGTGCACACATACGTGTATGTGCATGGCTGTGAAAGCACCGTGTGTGTGTGCGTGTGTGTGTGTGTGTGTGAGACAGTGCCCACCTGGGTTGAGGGTGGAGGCCGAGGTTAAAATGTCAGAGAGGGGGCAGCAACTCTGCAAAAATTCTTTCTTGCTCCCTTGCCAGCCTCTTCACATCCAACTCCTTCTCTGTGATTGAGGACGATGCATTTGCGGGCCTGTCCCACCTGCAGTACCTGTGAGTGAGGCCAGGGGATGGGGGCAGGGACGGGGGCTTGGTAGAGTGTGGCTCCTAGAGTGGAGGGAGGTATAGAGGCTTACTGGCACGGGCGGGAGGGTCCGGCCAAGGGTCCCTCCTGGAGGGGCAAGAGGCCTGGCGTCTTGGCAAGAAGCCTGCTCACCTCCCCTCTCTGTGCTGCAAGGTGCACAAAGGGCCTGGGGAACCCAAGACTGTTTCTGGCCCTACCCGACTTACGGGAGCCCGGGGAGCGGACAGAGAGGCCGGAGGCAAGGAGATGTTTCGAATTAACGGGAGACAACTCTGAGGCGGTGATGGTAGGGGTGGCGGGGAAGGCAGTACGACGACGCCGGCATTGGGCCGGTGTTGGCGATAACGGTGTTGAAGGCTATGCTGCGGCCGCTCGCGGGGAAGTGCCGGCACGAAGGAGGACCATGGAGTGGGGATGACGTTGGCAAAGATGGCGGACCCGATGGCGATCGCGCCGGTGGCGATATTGATGATGGAGTCTGAGCGGTCGATGTTAGTGTTATCATTGTCGTGGGTGTTGGCCATCACATATCGGTGTTGCTATTGGCGGTGGCTGTGGGTAGGTTGTCGGCGTCGGCGTCGTGTGGGCGTAAGGGCGACGTGGTAGGTACTGGGCTTGGCGGGGACGACGGAGGTGCCGGTGTGTGGGAAAACTGTGGCTGTAGGGGTGCTCGTGGCGGGTAGAGACGGGGGTGCTGGGGACAGTGGGGCCGTGGGTACCGGGAGCGCCTGTCCCAGTGCCAGTGCTTCTGGAAATGGTGGCAGTGGTGGTGATGGGGTGGCAGCGTTCGCTGTCAGGCTGGCAACGAGCACAGGTTAGGCTCCTGGCTCCTGGGATTGTAGTCTGGGACCCTGGGGAGGAGAGGTTTCCGGGGAGGCGTCGGCACATTCCAGGGGCCTAGGGCTCCCGTGGGGTGAGTTCCCCCCAAGCACGACGGGGCCACAGCAGGGAACCCAGGGCCTCCCCATCACCATGCCTTCCCTCCACAGCTTCATCGAGGACAATGACATTGGCTCCATCTCTAAGAACGCTCTCAGAGGACTTCGCTCACTCACACACCTGTGCGTGCCCCCAAGGCCTCGCCCCTCTGCTCACCAGCCCGCCCTGACAGGCTCCCCCAGACCCCATCACCCCATCACGCGGGGCATCCAGGTAGCTGGTGACGGTTCCTCCTCTCTCTCTCCTTCCACCAGGAGCCTGGCCAGTAATAATCTCAAGACCCTCCCCAGATTCCTGTTCCGAGGCCTGGAGACCCTAACTCATGTGTGAGGCTCAAGGGGGCTGGGCGGGTCGGGGAGTTGGGGAATGTTCGAGAGGGAAGCGGATTGCTGTGCCCACTTTCGGTTGACATATCTAAGTACGGCTGCAACGGTCCTCACATATTTCCTCACTCACCTCTGGGGCCCCATCCCGAACCCTTGCCCGGGGAGGGGGCGGGGAGTGTGGCCTCCAGGGGGCAGTGGAAGCCAGGTCGCAGCCCCTCCCCGGCCTCTTGCCCCAGGGACCTCCGCGGGAACCCGATCCAGTGTGACTGCCGCGTCCTCTGGCTGCTGCAGTGGATGCCCACCGTGAATGCCAGCGTGGGGACTGGGGCCTGCGCCGGCCCCACTGCTCTGGCCCACATGCAGCTCCGCCACCTGGACCCCAAGACGTTCAAGTGCAGAGCCATTGGTGGGGGCTTTCCGGGCTGGGGGGGTGGGACAGCAGGGGTTCCAGAAGAAGGCGGGAGATCAGGGGAATGGCTGCCAGGGCTGAAGGGCTCACCTCACTCCCTGCTCTGCCGTTTCCCAGCTTGTGAGACCCTGGGCAAGCAGCATCACCTCCCTGAGCCTCAGTTTCCTCATCTGTAAAATGGAGGTAATAAACAGTGACGTAGTGAGAATTCAGTGATGTATCTGCACCTGCATCTGGTGCAGAACCTCGGATGGGAGGCCCTCCTGAATGTTCACTCTGCTGGTGTTATTAATATAAAAATGACCTTTTAAAAATACTTGCTACGATCCTTCTGCTTTCCCATAAATATATTTTGGTACCTTTACGGGTCCCGGGCACTGCAGAAGACTCAGCAGCGAGGAAGCGCAGAGGAAGTGGAGAGTGAGAACCCAGAGCGGTCAGGGCTGGGATGGGGGAAGCCGACAGAGCTGCAGACGCCCAGAGCCAGAGTGAGGGCCGGGGAGGGCTTCCTGAAGCGGTGCGTATTTGAGTTCAGATCCGAAGGCTATAGATACAATGATCGATTATTACCATCATCTAAGTGTGAGACACGTTTTTGGTCTGTGGGACCCATAGAACCGGAGAATTTAGCTTCAGTTATCCCGCAAAGATTCACTCTGTGTCCAGCCCTGGGAGAGGCAAGGGGCACCAAGATAGGGCCCCGCCCTCAGAGCCCTGGCAGGTGAGGCATTAAATAAAACATTGCAGAAATAAATGTACACTACGCCTCGTGATAAACACAGGGAGTGGTGAGGGAGATTAAGTGAGGGGGGCGGTCCTACCTTCCATGGGGCATTGATTGGAGAAGGCTTTTCTGGAGAGGCGGCTTCAGATCCAGAAGAGCGCTGTAGACAGGGAGGACAGCATGTGCAATGGCCCTGAGGCAGCAGAGAGTTTGTCCTGCTTGAGGGTCACAGTCAGGCAGTGTCCCGGGGAGTGAGTGCAGGGAAGGACACAGGTGACACTGAAGGCTGCAGGGGCCTCACTGTGTACGATTTTGAAAGCCACAGAGAGCAGAGTGGCCTTTATCCTGATGGCCGTGGGAAGCCGTGGAGGGCTTGGAGCAGGGGGTGATGACAGGAAGGACGTTTTTAAGAGATCCACCTTTGGGTGGGCATCCTTGGTGGTTTCGTTCATTGCTTCAACCCTGGTACCTGGAGACAGGGCCTGGCACATAGAGTGATGTATTAGAACCTGGAGTCTACCGCCGGGCCCGTCCACCACCGCGCTGGGCGACCTTGGTGCATCACGACCAAAGCTAGGCTGCTTACCATGAATTAGAGAAGAGAGGAGGGACTGAGGTGAGCAGTCCAGGGCGTGGGACAGCCTCTGGGTGTTGTCCTGGCTTTCATGATTGAAAGTGAGTTATGGCACGTCCACGTGCCGGGTCACGGGGAGAAGGGGAAAGGGACCGAGTCCGGGACGAGCCGTTGCCAAACAAGTGAGGCGACCGTTACCCCCATCGCTTGGCTCTTTTTCCCTTGGAAACCTGGTGTGGACAGGGCCACGCCTCATCTCAGGAGGGAGGTGTCGGGGGAGTGCTGAGACAAGGTGGCCTCTACCTGGGCAGTTTTGTGCTCCAGTCCGATTTCATGGAAGGTGGCAAGGATGGATTGTGCCGGACGGTCCCGTGCCTGCCTCTCGGCCCGTTTCCTCATCTGTAAAACGGCTATGATGAAATGTCCCTCACAGGGATCTTGTGGAGTTAAATGAATTGATAAATACATTGTTCCTAAGCAGTTATTTGATGATGTCATGCAGCTTAGAAAACACAGTATGACCGTGTTGCTGTGACTTAATTCGTCTATAGATCAAAAGATTCGCTATCCGTCCCTTTGAGGTGCACACCCCTCATTTCAGAGATGTGGAAACCGAGGCTCAGCGATGAGGGCCCTCGGGGTCCCCCGTGCCTCCCTGACTCTCTCCTGCCACCCCCAGAGCTGTCCTGGTTCCAGACGGTTGGGGAGGCGGCGCTGGGCGTGGAGTCCTTCTCCTACCAGGGGGAGCCCCACATCGTCCTGGCACAGCCGTTTGCGGGCCGTTGTCTGATCCTCACCTGGGACTATAGCCTGCAGCGTTTCCGGCCCGAGGAAGAGCTGTCAGGTGAGCACCCCCTCGCATCCTCCTGCCTGTCCCCGTAGCCTGCCCGCTGTGGGGGGGGGGAGACCCCGACCTGCCTGGCTGACCTGACCGCCCCTCCTGCTCCCCGACCCCCCCCACAGCGCCCTCGGTGGTGTCCTGCAAGCCACTGGTGCTGGGCCCGAGCCTCTTCGTGCTGGCCGCCCGCCTGTGGGGTGGCTCGCAGCTGTGGGCCCGGCCCGGCCCCGGCCTGCGCCTGGCCCCCACACAGGCCCTGGCCCCACGACGGCTGCTGCGGCCCAATGACGCCGAGCTCCTGTGGCTGGACGGGCAGCCCTGCTTCGTGGTGGCCGACGCCTCCAAGGCGGGCAGCACCACGCTGCTGTGCCGGGACGGGCCCGGCTTCTACCCTCACCAGAGCCTGCACGCCTGGCACCGGGACACGGATGCCGAGGCCCTCGAGCTGGACGGCCGGCCCCACCTGCTGCTGGCCTCTGCCTCACAGCGGCCCGTGCTCTTCCACTGGCTCGGGGGCCGCTTCGAGAGGCGCACAGACATCCCCGAGGCTGAGGACGTCTATGCCACGCGTCACTTCCAGGCCGGCGGGGACGTGTTCCTGTGCCTGACACGCTACATCGGGGACTCCATGGTGAGGCTGGGCCCCTCAGGTGGGGCAGGCAGTGGAGGCCGCAAGCCAGACCCGACCTGCGGCCCCCCTCAGGGCTGGTCTTTTAGCACCGACCCCACCTTGCACACCGGCCTTGAGACTGACCTGACCTCTCAGGCTGACCTTCGAACTCTGACCCCACCTAGTGTTCTGATCTTTGAACTCTGGCTGCCCTGACACTGACTCCAAGACAGTGACCCCTCAGGCTGGCTCACCACAAGCCACTCCCTGTCCCCCGACATTGACACTGGCCCCACGATTCTAATTCTACCGCCAGACTCCGGCTCCATAACTCTGACACGCTCCAAACTCCCACTTGACCACAATCACCACTTGACCACCACCCACTTGACCACAAGCACTCTGAGTCTCCAGGGCTGATGGCCCACCCCCTCTAGCATTCTCATTCTGGGGTGAGATACCACCAGGCAGAGCCTAGAAGGCACTGATCTGACTCAGGTGTCCCCAGGACACGTGTGGGGAACAGACTGTGGGTGTAGGGATGGAGGGGGGGGAGACCAGGGAAGAGCCTGGCATCATGGTCCAGGAGGGAAGTGACTGCCGCCGGGCCGGAGTGCAGCCAGAGGAGATGGGAGAGATGTATCCCATCGTGGGTAAAGCTGACCGACTCTGTGCGGGGCGTGAGGGGGAGAGAGGGGCCAAGGATGACTTCAGGTTTGTGGCCCGAGCAGCTGGGTGGTGACACGTGTGAAGGTAAGAAAGCCGCAGGAGCTTGGGGACCTACAGGCCTGTCTCCAGGCTGTCCCAAGTGCTCAGAAGGGCTGCAGGCCTGGCCCTCCTGGACCCCAGGCCCTAACTAGTGGCCACACTTCACAGGTCATGCGCTGGGACGGCTCCATGTTCCGCCTGCTGCAGCGACTGCCCTCGCGTGGTGCCCACGTCTTCCAGCCGCTGCTCATCGCCAGGGACCAGCTGGCTATCCTGGGCAGCGACTTTGCCTTCAGTCAGGTCTTGCGTCTTGAGCCTGACAAAGGGCTCCTGGAGCCGCTGCAGGAGCTGGGGCCCCCAGCCTTGGTGGCCCCCCGTGCCTTTGCTCACATCACCGTGGCCGGCAGACGCTTCCTCTTCGCCGCTTGCTTCAAGGGCCCCACACAGATCTACCAGCATCACGAGCTAGACCTCAGTGCCTGAAACGCGAGGGGACCTTGAGACCTTGGACACGGCTCGGAGGGGAGGGGGCACTGGCGCGGGGAGTCCCAGGCCTCTGGACGCTCACTTGAACGGCCTCCTGGCCCTACCCGGGGTGATGGTATCTGTGAGGTACTGACCACAGGCCGAGTTCAAGACAAGGGCCTTGAACTTCCAGTCTGAAGCAACATCTCAGCCCGTGGCACATGCTCCGACCAAGCATGACTTGGGGCTCGGGCTGGGGCACCGCAAGAAGCTGGGGTACCGAAGCCATGGTGGGGGCGATGTGCAGAACTCCATGAGGTCTGGAAGAGCCCCCTCAAGCCCACTCCCCTCCTGCTCCCTCTGAAAGTGCTGAGGAGGAGAGAGCTTTCCTTTCCCTCTAAACTCATTCTGGCCAATCTCTTTTAGTGCCCGCCTCCGTGACGTCATCAGTCGCTGGGCCGGTTTCCCTGCCCGGGCCTGCTAACTTCCTCTGCTGCTTTGTGCGCATGCCTCCTGCCCAGGCGGAAGCCCAGCGTGTTGGCCCTCTTGCGCCTGCGCAAGAAATAGGTGGGAAAGTAGGTGTTGTGGCTGGAGCCCCCGCTACCCTTTCTCTGGAGAGGACGGGAAGTGTATAAGCTCAATAAACACGCTGTGCACCTGCCTCACCCATTATGGGATCTTTGGAAGAAGGTGTCTCTTGGGTGGCGTGCGGGGGAGAGCGGGAGGAGTGGTATCCCAGGAGCAGTGTTATGGAGGGGAGAGGTCACGGGGTGCATTTTGGCTGCCTCTGCTGCTTTTTCGCAAGCCCCATGAGTGTGGGCTCATGATTATGGGGGGCCTCGTGGGATGTTTGAAGGAAATAGGGCATGACGAAGGGACAAATCGCTGGTTTATTGTGGATCTCTTCTTTGGGTCATGTCTCAAGGCATCGTAGGAGATAGTTTTAGGTGTTTTGAAGGGTTTTAGGCGTTATATGGGGTGGCCCTTGGGGACATTTTGGAGATCTTTTTGGGTATTGGGGAGTCTCAAGGGAGTTTGAGGCTCCTCGGAGGTTCTCACGCCATGTGGCCACTATATATTATTAGTCTCATGGGGAATTATTTAGAGAACTCACAGGGACAGTTGGGTACTAGGAAGAGTTTTCTATAATCAAGTGGGGTCCCAGAGGTGAGTGGGGGGGGGGGGCATGGGGTCTTTCTATTCTAACCATACTCTATGTGACTCCTCATATCGTGATAGGAAGATCCACATCCTTGTTTTCCTGGGATGGTCTCAATGTCCCAGCATTCCATCTGGTTAGAGCGCCCTTTCACTCCCCAGAGTGTCCACCACTTGGCTACTAGAAAATTTTAAATTGCACCCGTGGCTCCCCCAGCCTTGGGAGGCAGAGGGCAGACCTCATGCCATTCATCAGGCCTTAGAGAGATGATGGCCAGCTTCTGTGCCAGCTGCCAGTGAAAGCCCATCCCAACGTAGGGAGTCTTGAGGCTGCTTGGGCAGGAGACACGATCAACTTTTAGATTAAAAATCGAACAGAAAGACACCCCACCCCCACCCCCAGTGAGAGGTGAGATGAGACCCTGGCAAGGCGGTCTGAGGAGAGGAGGGAGACTTCCATCCTGGAGTCCAAGCCCCCATGCAGAGCCAAGACTTGGGGGAAGAGAAGGGACGTCCGTGTCCTTTTGGTCGATCCATCCTCAACAGTGATGGGCAGAGCCTGGGAGAGATGACGGGTCAGCTTGTGAATGCACATGGGGTTTTCTCCCCAAGGCACGTGCACACACGTGCACACTCACCCACCCCTCACATCCTGTGTTCCCCTCACCCCACGCTGGTCCTGCCTTACCTGGAGTGATGAGAGGAGGGGAGTCCCCTGGATGGTGACTAGGGAAAGAAAAGTCGTGAAATCAGTATCCACTCCCTCGTCCTCTCAAGGCTAGAAGATTCCCAGCTTGCCCTGACAGCTTCCTGGCTATTTTTCCAATGCTGGTTGTAACATTCCAGGGACCAAAGCTTTTCAGGATTTGGGGCCCTCTGAAGATTATCAGCTCTGAAGAATAAACCTGGAAAAATCTTAGTGGCGCGAATTCTCCAGGGCAGCGCCGGGAGGCCTCTTTCTGCGAGATTTAGCTCCTTCCACCAGTGAAAGGTGTCTGTTCAGCGTGAGCCGGGCACACGGGAAACCCGTCTTACCTGGGCTTCTGGCTGAACTTGCACTTGCATTTCCCACCTGTTGGGGAGAGGGGATGGTTGGGAGAGAGGACCCGGGCCCACAGCCCTGCCCTGCCAGCCCGGCCACCAGCGTCCCCACTCACTCATGAGGACGATGATGCCGATGGTGCACAGAACCCCAGCACAGATGAGTCCACCGATTCGGAGTCTGTGCCAGTCTAGGAGAAACCCGAAGGGGGTCGTCAGTGCCTGCCCCCCCCCCCATCAAACCCCCATCTATCCAACAAGTAGGTATTGGGCACCTATGGCGGGCAGGGAGCCGGGGATACGGAGTGAACAGACAGCCCCCCAGCCCTCCTGTGCTCACATTCCCCTTTACACACAAACAAGCGATAAGAGATTCAATGGAAGGTCAGGTGAAGATAAGCTTTCTGAAGACAAATAAGCAGGGCCAGGGGACAAAAAGTCAGAGGCCCAGCGTGGTCAGGGAAGGCTTCTCCGAGCAGAGACCCGGGGAGGTGAGGCAGGGGGCCGTGGCAAAGGGATCGGAAGGTACAAAGGTCTGGAGGTCTGGAGTGTGTCTGCCGTGCCTGAGAGACGGCGGGGAGGCCACCGCATAGCTCGCCTCCTTCAGGCAGTTTTTGCAAGACAGCCCTTCCCCCTGCCGTTGATTTGAACCCTAACAACGGCTTCCTGTGAAATGTCCTGGCTTCCTGTGTGTCTGTCCTGCCGGAAGAGAACCTTCGCAGGGACCAGATTGGCCTCGCTCATTCCTTTATTCCTTTATTCTATGGTGTTGACTGTTCAGTGCCTCACTCCTCGCCCCTTCCTATCCTCACCCTTGTTTCACCCACATCAGACCCTCACCCAACCTAGGTGGCCCCCTTGGCACAAAATAGTAGGTGGGGGTGGGGAGGCTCCGGAGAGAGGGGTGCAAGCTCTCACCATAGTAGAAAGGACTGTTTTTATCTGCAAGAAAAGAAAAAAGAACGTGAATCCAGGACAACAACCAAGACGCAGGGGTGCGGGGTGGGGGGTGGAATTTGGGGGTGAGCCTGGTGGAAGGGTCCAGTCTGACTCACCTTCTGGGTCGTTGGCGTCCAGGGCAGGCAGGCCTGCTGGGAGAAGCGGGAAGGACAGGGGATGGCGGTGCCAGCCTCAGTAAACTGCCGGGCAGAGCCACAGAGCCTCAGGGGCCTCGAGATAGGGTCCCCTGGCAGACAGTTCCCCTCCTGCGGGCACAGGCGTCCGGCCCCCACTGGCTGCCCCTGTACCTCTCACCTCGGAGGTGTGGACTCACCCCCGAGCCCCAAGCCTGTGAGCCCTGCTGGCACTTTGCCTCCTAAAATAGGTTTTAATCTGGGCGGCTTTAGGCCACTCTTTGGCCTGGTGTTTCCAGACACCTGCTAATCCATGCCTCCCGCAGAAATGGAACAACATTCTTTTTTTTTTTGTAATTTTTTTTATGTTTATTTTTGAGAGAGAGAGAGAGAGAGAGAGAGAGAGACATGAACAGGGGAGGGACAGAGGGAGAGTCAACAGGGGAGGGAGACAGAAGATCAGAAGCTGGCTCTGTGCTGAGAGCAATGAGCCCTATGCAGGGCTCGAACTCATGAACTGCGAGATCCTAACCTGAGCTGAAGTCGAACGCTTAGCTGGCTGAGCCGCCCAGTGCCCCGTGGAGCAACATTCTTCTCAACTTATCAAGATGACAGATGGCATCGGTTCCCGGTCATTCTCACAGCCTCATCCACACCCCACCCGTTCTGGTGTTTGCTCGCCACTTCCTTTTAAAGCAAATCACTAATTAGAAACTTAACGCACTTTACTCAAAAGTGCAGCTTTCTATTACTACCCTACATGGAATGCCAATCTTGCCCGATGTGAGGGATAAAAAAATACCAGAAAAGCAAAGGACTAGGATTACATTCGGGCTAGAAGCAGTGGGCCACCTGAGCTCTGGGCCTAAGCTCTGTTCTTTCTTTGTGAAAAGGAGATTAACAATTTTTAATTATATTTAAAGCACAAACGCAATGTGCTTACTCTGCACTGGGCCCTGTTCTAACTGCTTTTCTTTCTTTCTTTTTTTAAAAAACTTTTTTTTTTAATGTGTATTTATTTTTGACAGAGAGAGAGACAGAGCATGAGCAGGGGAGGGGCAGAGAGAGAGGGAGACACAGAATCGAAAGCAGGCTCCAGGCTCTGAGCTGCCAGCACAGAGCCCGATGCGGGGCTCGAACTCACAGACCGCGAGATCATGACCTCAGCCGAAGTCGGACGCTCAACCGACTGAGCCACCCAGGCGCCCCATCTAACTGCTTTTCAAGTACTAACTTGTGAAATGACTATTAAGTGCATACCATTATTGTTTCCATTTTTACACTGGGGAAACTGAGGCACAAAGGATTTCCGTAACTGCCGCATACACGAAGCTCCCAGTCATCTCTTGTACTAGTGTTAGGGAGGTGTTAAAGACACAGTACACAGGGCTGAGCCTTCTCCTCCCTCGAGAGGGTGACTTTGTAGCTGTGTGAGCCTCTGCTTTAAGAGGTCCTGTCTTTGTGTGTCCCTTGAAGTCACCGGTGTGGCACTTCTTACCCTCAAGGAGATGCTGTCCTGGTAGTCCCTACCCCACAAGGGAGGCGGAAAGCATGAGAGGGACACACGTGGAACTTGGCCACCACTCAACAGAGGGGTTTGGGGAAAAGGCAGTCCCGGGGATGGGTACTCACCTGTCAGGAGGATGAGCAGACTTAGGGTCACCTCTCGCATGTCCGCGTCCAGCTGGCCTGGAGGGGTGGGGACGGATGGGGAGGGTCCAACTTGAGCAGGGCTGCGGGCTGCCAGACAGGTGCCTCTGGTTCCCAATCCTCTCCTACTCTGCCCCCACCGGGGGTACGAAGCTCGCCCCAGGGCAGGAAGGCTGGCATTAAAACCCACTCACTGGCTGGGAGGTAAGTGCGGGGGGGGGTGGGTGACGACGCGGACCTGGCGAGGGATCACAGTAACAACTCACTGGACACAAACTTGGGGCTTGAAGCGAATTTCCCTGGCGACCAAATGAGGGAGGTGCTGCCTGCCGTTATCCCCATCTTACAGATGGGGAAACTGAGAAACTGAAAGCTGGAAATGGGTGCGTAGGGTCAGCCCGGCGGGGAGCGGGACTTAAAGCAGCCTGGCTCTGCGGAGGCTGCTCGTCACTCAGGACTCTCAGGGCCTCGGGGTGTTTTGGGAAACAGGACGTCGGAGCCAGGTGGCAAGAGGCCCGGTTCCCGGGTGTGTCTGCCACAGGACAGCTCGGAGCCTGCCTGCCCTGCCCAGACTCTGCAGACCTCGGGCTGGGCCAGGGCCGGGGCCCGGCCGGCTCCTCAGGCGGCTGGGGGCGAGGCGCGGGCAAGGGAGAACCGGAGGCTGGGGCGGGCGTGGGGCACGGAGCAGAGACGAGTCATCTGGCTGCAGCCCCAGGCCCATCTTCTGCCCCCCACCTCGTTTGTGCCCCGGCCTCGGCCCCAGGCTCTGTCAGGCTCCTCCTGGCAGCCTTATTTCCTCCCTCCCCAGGTAGGCCTGCCCAGCAAGAAGACCCCCCCCCCCCCCCATCCCCTTCCTGGTCTGGCATCAGCCCACCCTCCCCGCATCCTCAGTGCCCAAGATAAGCCCCCGTGCGTCGCCCGGCCCCCGCCCAGCCCCAGCCCCCCAGCCCCAAGCACCCACTGTCAAAACGTTGATAGCAAGAGCTAGCACGTCCTCTGACCCACCCTGTGCTGCGCACTGCCCGTGACCTTGCTGTGTGTTCACCCATTTCACCGCCACCCCCGCCCCCCACCGCCGGAAACCCCGGAGGCGATCTCTTCTATCCTCCATTTCACCGATGGCAAAACACATGCCCTCGCTAAGCCTGGCGAAAAGCCTTTTGACCTTCCCTGCTGTGTCCCCGCGACTCCCGTCCACAGCTGAAGAGAGCGAGCCCGTCTCTCCATACCATGGAAACCCCACTCCGTGTTCCTTTCTGTTTCTTGCCCAGACTCCTCCCCGGTCCTGTGCACTTAGGTCCTGGGAATCCTCCCAGCCGTTCGTCCTTCAGGGTGGACTCATGGTTTTAGTCTGAGCGCCCATTTCTTGCAGGAAGGGGGACTGTGGCTTTGGAAAGCATTGCTATGGCATTTAGGGCCCCACACGTTTGGGGAGAAGAGCTGGAGTGGGTGTGTGGGCAGGACGGCCCGTGGGTCCTTGCCAAGCTACCTGGCGAGGCTTCGTCACCCCGAGATGGTGCTAATACTAGTAATAACAGCTAGTGCTGGCCGGGGGCCTGGGTGGCTCAGCCGGTTAAGCGTCCGACTCTTGATTCCGGCTCACGTCATGATCTCGCGGTAGGTGAGTTCAAGCCCCGCATGGGGCTCTGGGCTGACAACACAGAGCCTGCTCAGGATTTTCTCTCTTTCTCTGCCCCTTCCCCCCCAAATAAATAAACAAGCTTGGAAAAAAAAAAAAAAAAAAAGAGCTAATGCTTAATTGTTTACCCCATGCCAGGCACTGTTTCAGTTCTTTGCATTTATTCACTTACATAATCTTCGCGGCTTGATGAAGTTGGCACTGTGGTTACCCCCCGTTGCTGTCACAACCCAGAAACCCCTGCTAACTCAGCTTAATGCTGCATGCCGTCCCCCAGGACCCAGAGTCCCAGCTCTGAAGCCTCTGTCCGTGGAATTCACCACGTCCCCCTGGCCGCGAGGGCTCTGTTTCTCCCCGTCTCAGGCACCTCTCAGCATCCCTGGCACAGGGGGGATGGATGAGGGAGCCTAGCGGCGCCCCAACCCCTGGGCGACATTTCCGGCCTGGCCCTCCCACGGTGCAGGCTGCTGGGAGCTGGTGTCTGGGCACCTGCCCAGACTGTTGTTGGAAGAGGCTTGTGAGCTGCTCCCGAACTGGTTGTTGTCTGGTTGTTGTCGGTGTGAAGGCTCAGAGAGGAGGGCAGCCTGCAGGTGGAGGCTCTCCCCACCCCTCTCTGCTCCTTTCCCGCCCTGCAGGCCCAACACGGGGTCCAGAGCTGTTTCCACCAGCCGCCTTGTGCGGCTGTTCCTCCATGATGGTGGCCAAGCCCTTCGAGCCTGATGACTCCCTCACTTCCCCGAAATTTCCTACCAACTCCCCATTTTACAGCTTCCCCAGGAAGCCACCATCTCCTCTTCCAGGAGGCCTTCAGGATCCACACATCCCCAATCCCCAGACATCCGAGTCCATCCACTCTGATACCCTCAATCTGCCCTGACCCACCTGGATACTCCAGTCCTCCCCGGCACCCCTCTGCAACCCTATCCACCCAGATGCCCCTAATCCAGATGCTTCTGGTCAACTCGGTCACCCCCGATCTACCCAGTCACCCCGATCCCACGTGTGGGCCTTACCCTCATCCCAGCTGGCTCACCCAGCCCCCGGAAGGGAGATTGTTGGGGGGGTGGGGTGGGGATCACGTTAACGGAAGGGGCTTTCTCTAATCTGCTGCCCCCTTGCCCCCCAGAAAAGATTCTTGAAGGGAGGCTCTAGAGTCTTTAACAGAGGTAAGTGGAGGGAGGGGCGGGGGTACTTTGGGCGCAGAGCCAAGAGGCTGTTGGAAGGAGGGGACCCCAGCCGCTCACCTGTGTGGCTCCCCAGGCTGCTTGGAAAGTTCCAGGAGAGAAGGGCGAGAATGGGGCTGCTAAGCCTGAGTCCTGCCTTTATCCGCAGCTGCCCCGCCCTAAGCAAACCTGGGCAGGTAGAGAACAAGTTGGACTCCCTAAAGCTCAGGGGCTCTCTCACCCCATTCCTGCTCTTAAAGAGACAGCTCCCACACCCTTCTCCCCTACCACTAATGCCGGGGAGCTCCCTGCGGTCCCCAAGTTCACAGCAGCCTCGGGTGCGGCAAAGGGAGAATAGGATGGGCTAGAATTCTGTCCCTCACATCAGGGGAGGGGTTTTCTTTAATCTCTTGCCCCTGCGAAAAGCACCTGGCGGGAAGAAGGTTGGGGTCTTTAAATGCAGAGCTTCTGTCCTGCAGCATGGTGGGGGAAGGCCCTGCACTGGGGTCCTAATCTAATTTCTTTTACTTAAGATTGTGTGCTGTGCTTGCGGGCAATCGCAGGATAGCTAGAGTCCCCTTCCAGACCACTTGTCGCTTTTGACAGCTCGAGGGCCAGCAGAAGATGCTGATGTGACCAAGGTCATGAGGTGGGGGGGGGGGCGGGGGGGGGGCTGTTGGGCTTTAGACCATGGACCACGTCCACCATGCCCGAGAGAGCCTGGGAACTGGTTTCTGAGCACCAAGCAGGCCTTCCTAGCTCAGACCTTCCCAAGGGCGCAGGGAGTCAGATGCCCGGGTCTACGCAGTGGGTGTTGGGGTGGAGGCTGCCTCCCACTCCGGATAAGGCCATTGCACTGTGCAAGGCTTCCTTCCGCTCCCTCCTCCTTCTCCTGCCCCTCCTCCTCGTGGCATTCCTTCTGGCTGGGGTCTGTGTGGGCCCCCACACGGTCCTCGTTGGGGTGCCCCCTCCCCCCCAATTCTCTGCCTTTTTAGACAGAGGGACTTTTGTCCGGGGGCTGGATGGAGAACAAGGCGCCTTTGAGTGGCTGGCGGAGGATTGGGGTCACGGGGAGGGGCAGGGCCAGGAAAGGGTGGCCCTGCACTGGCCACCAGCTGGACTCCGGGCGACCCCCAACACCATCTCGGGGGTGGAGAGGAGGGCTGCGGGAGCCAGGCCAGGGAGAGTGTGGAGCACAGGACGGGGAAAGGGGGCTTCCGAGGTCAAGGCTCTGCTGGGGGTTGTCTGCCCAGGCCAGGGAGAAAGGGCCCCCCACTTCCTAACAGGGAGGCACGGAGAGGCAAGGAAGGCACGCCCAGACACATGCTTTCTTTATGTGGCTCCCTCAGGCCATTTTTCAACCCCAGGCCCGAGACTAGGACACGGCCTCCCCCGACTCCCGTTAAGAAGGGACCAGTCCTTTCAGGGAGTGGAGGAGGCACTCAGGGTGGATCTCCGTTCAAGTGGGAAGTTCAGGGGGGAGACAGAAACAGTGTTAAGGGGGGGCCTGCCGGGGAGGATCCCGGTCCAGCTAAGGGGGTCTTTGTCTGGGGGAAGATAGCATCTCTTGCTCAGACATTTCAAATTACGGCGTCCCCGGGAAGACCCCTTTGATGGTCTTGGGAGTTGAGTGGTGTCTCCCTCTGCTGGGAAGTCCAAGAACTGCAGGCATCCGAAGGCAAGAAGGGGCGAGCGCTTCGCGGTAGCTGAGGTGTCCTTCCCTGCGCCAGTCTGTACTCAGTTGCCAAAGGGACCCGGCAAGAATCGTAAACGAGTGAAGCAGGACAGGCAGGAGACCGTAAGGCACACTGGCCACCCGGCAAATGGGAGAACTCCTGTCCTGTTTAAAAGGCAGCCACATGGAGAGAGACGGAAGTGTCTCCCAGACCCCTCGCTGAGGGAAAAACAGCAGGATGTATAGAATTTGCTACCGGGGCGCCTGGGTGGCGCAGTCGGTTAAGCGTCCGACTTCAGCCAGGTCACGATCTCGCGGTCCGGGAGTTCGAGCCCCGCGTCGGGCTCTGGGCTGATGGCTCAGAGCCTGGAGCCTGTTTCCGATTCTGTGTCTCCCTCTCTCTCTGCCCCTCCCCCATTCATGCTCTGTCTCTCTCTGTCCCAAAAATAAATAAATGTTGAAAAAAAAAAAAAGAATTTGCTACCATTTGTGAAGGAGGGAAGAATGCCTACCCTTGTTCATGAATGAGGTATCTTTGGAGGCTGACACCCGTGGTTGCTCCTGGGGAGGAGGGGTGAGAGGCTAGGGGGTGGGGCGGAGGGAGACTCCCTCTCCTACCTTTGGAACTTTATATTCGAAAAATACCCTACTTCAAAAAAAGTCTAATTAAAAGTAGTAAAGGATAGTGTCTACACAGTCCCAGCCAATTGCTGCTATATGTTCCATCAGTGTCAGAAACCTGAATCTTTATACAGAATTCCCAATATTAAAAGTTGGCTCGGGGGCACCTAGCTGGCTCAGTGGGTAGAACAAGTGATTCTTGATCTTAGGGTCGTGGGTTCGAGCCCGACGCTGGGTGTAGAGATTACTTGCTAAAAAAAGTTGGGTCAGATTTTTTAAAAATTATGCAGGTTTAAGGGGCGCCTGGGTGGTTCAGTCAGTTGAGCAGCCGACTTCAGCTCGGGTCACGATCTCGCGGTCCGTGAGTTCGAGCCCCGCGTCGAGCTCTGTGCGGACGGCTCAGAGCCTGGAGCCTGTTTCAGATTCTG